AAAGTGGGCAAGGAAAGGGTAAATAAAAAACCAAGACACCGGAAAGAGAGGGGAAGCAATCACAATTTAATAAGATGATAAAATATTATTTGATGTGAAGGAGGGAAAAAGAGGAGAACCAAGGAGTGGAGACTGGATCAGGTACAGTCAGTCAAGTCTCGGTTCTGGACTCTTAAACGGTTGCGTCTAACAGCGATCCAAAAGTACAAGTTTCTAGTGACCCTTTACCTAATCAATGCATAGCGTCCACTCCAGTGAACTCCAGAGGATCGATCGACTGCCAGCCAGTTCCAGTTCCACGGATACTGCCCGTGTCTTTGGTAAAATAGTACCAATCACCAAGTCCAAAACTACTGGGGATTTTGGTTTTGTTTTCTTTTTTGTTTCTTAATTTATGTCAGTCATCTCGAGTCCACTTCGACTAGAACATTACAACAATACTCTTATTGCCCTGTGCTCAATTGCCCTGAACTTGAAAGAAGATAAAAATAAATCACACGTGTTCTGAGAATAATCGGAGGCAAACAAACAAAAAAAAAAAAATAACCAAAAAAAGAGGAGAAGGAAAGAAAAAGAAAAAGAAAAACTCAGCCATCCCACCCTCTTCTAAAATCGCCACAGACATAGACACAGACACAGACACGCATACTGAGCATCACTAACGCAGTTGATCTGTCGGAAGCTGGGATGTCCGTCAGACTCCGTTTCAAAAAGTCTCGAGGATCCGCGTAACAGCTTCCGGCCCCAGTCGGCTGGGTATTGACCGTTCGGATTGCGGACCCGTTGTTAGTGAAAAAACTAAAATTAAGTATGGCAAGAACTGAAGGGAGGGAGACCAACGTCCGATAATTGGGGCGGGAGAGAAACTAGGAGTTCATAGTGCAGTAATTTGAGTTCATGCGCTGTTGGTGTGGCTGAGAACGGAGGTGGATGAATATGTACGGAGAACGGAGTACGTACAGTCAACCCAAACAATGAAATCTTTGCCGTCATTTGTTCCCGAGGATGGGCTAAAATGATCGATCATACAGGAGGTTTTTTTTAAATTTTTTTTTGTGCTTCTCTGTCGGACATTCTACCGGACTATTTGATGATTCAATCATCGTGCTTTGGCGTGGATGATGTCAATGGGCGCGCAAGGGGCAGATGAGATCATTCAACGAAATGATATACTTGCCTTTTCCTTACTCTGTCCTCCTCGTTTACCTGTCTTCTTTTCTTCTCTCTCTTTCTATTTGTCTTGCCTGACAACCTCGGTGGGTCGGTCGGGACGCGCAATCTGACTGACATCCCGCGGGCCACTAACGATCTTCTCCATGAGACATATGAAACATTCTTGACGAAGTCAATTGGGTGATGCTCGCTTCTCATGAGATACGACGTTGATAGGGCACACACAATAAATATTATCTACTGCTCAGGCCATGGTGACTAAGTGTGAGCAGTACAGATGACCAAAACTCGACGTGTATCAAATTCTTCGTAGTAAGGTTACCTTTAATGTTCGACTTTCGTGACGCTATTCTACATGAAACAATCTAAAATCCGGACCCAGGGTCTTTGCTCTTCCCACGTTTTTTTAGTCCGGGCCACCTTCTGGTTGGGGGCATTAGCTTTATTGGAGAATGGGGGATCCTCTTTCATTCAATTCATTTGCAGCCCGACGGGGGAGGGGGGTGGCCGTCAACATCGTTGCCTATGCTCAGGAGTTCTCTGAAACGTCTGCAGTGAACATGATTACAATGCACGGTGAACGGGCGGGAGCGAAATCCTTGGTACATACATACATACAGTACTCCGTACCATGGATTGCTTTACCCTGCCTAAGAGAACAACCAGGATATGACAGGGTAAAATAACCTAACTAGTCTCACACGTGACCTTACCGCGTCCAATGGTCGTTGGCAATTCCCTCGCGTAGGTCAAACATGCATCTTGATTAGGTGAGATGGTACCCACCACGCTCACGTGTTTTGCTCAGTGTCACCATCCAGAACGGTCGCATCCATTCAAAAGCAACTATAGAATAACTAAAGGAGTAGTACCCTGATAGTCTCATAAATCAGTTCTTATTATCCAAGACATCCTGGAAACCCGAACCTGTACACCCCGATCACGCCAAATCAGTCTGACGTTCCTGACAGCTATCATCTCGTCACATTGGCAATCAATCAATGTGTGCAGCAAAAAGCAACCTACTTGTATGTTATGCGCGTGGGACAAGGGGTCGTCCACTTTAAGCACCGCTGCTGCCAACAAAAGAGACTCGGTTCGCGAGTCGCTCTCAAGATCATATCGGGACCCTGCCCCCACTCCCACTTAGTCAACGTGCTTGTGTCAGACTAAGCACAGGCAGACAATTCTAGACTGCGCTACTGCACCGGGAGCACACCGAGGAGCGATCAGTTGAAGGTCGTCGTATGGTCATAGTTGACTTGTCCCATAACTCATGTGGGCTAGATGGATTTGTTATCCTTCACGATGGGAGCGTTAAGCTAACGTGCCCAATCGTCGTGGATTCTTGAGCAGTGGAAATCCTCGTGAACCTTACCGAAAGAGTCGTGGGAGACACAGTGCGCTATACCGTTCAAGGCAAAGATCGATACGCTAAAGTCGCCTTTTTTTTTGCTGGGTATTCTATCGTAATTAATCTGACTCGATAGGGGGGAGCCGATGATGATCATCAGGCGCAGACCCGTCTTGCCGGTCTAGTTCCTAGGATCATCGTGAGCCGCAGGAAGCTACCCAGCCGAGTTCAGGCAAAGGGAGAAGCAAACAAGAACGAGAAAAAAAAAAAAGTCAAGGAAAGGCAATCGATTACCCGGGAACTAATGTCAGTGACATTGGATAAATCATACATTACGATCGACCACACAAACCTCACAGCGAAACAGTGGGGGGGATTGTATTTTCATCGCGCTCTTTTTCCAGGAGAGCCCTCACAAGAAGGTGTGCGGCACACCGGCAAGGGACGTCTCAAACCTCTCCGATGCTCTAACTATCCCTTTTCCTTTGACCCAACACAACCCTAAGATCAGCCGTTCTATAGGATGTGGCTGTGTGGATCAACTCGGATTTGGTGAGTGTTTCTGAACAGTTATCCAAATCCGCCGGATATCCCCTTTCACGTCTCCGCCAATGCATCGGCTTGCGACTTCGTTTCCGGGTAATTCGGTCGCCGAGCTAACATCTGTAGCGATCGAGTAGACTGGGCATAGCCAAAGTAATACCAATTATGACCAATGCGGTGGGAATAAATCTTGCCGACTTCACCGGCCGGAGCGTCATTTTAGCTCCTTCGCCTTTGTCGTACTCGTTTCCGCAGGAGCACAGAAGGATTGGCTCCATGTAGTCCACATCCATGTGAATGTCTTCCCAAGGAGCTGAAGCGTCGGTCAACGTGCGACTGACGCTCTGGTGATCATCACAATACTTTTGGTGCATGCATTTTCTAGTCCTCGGGAAAAACAATATGAGGCCTGAGGCTCAATACATCCGGTACTATAAGGGCCCAAGCAGAGTACTTACCTCGGCGCTGGGCATGTTCAAGTCTGGTACATTAGTGGGTTAGTATTATAACTTGACAGCCGTTAAAAACTTGTTTATTTAGATCGCCGGTTCGAGATTGAGACGGCGCGATGATCATCAGGCCCACCTTTCTTTATGCCCAAGAAGTTAAACCTTTCGACTAAACGAGGGATTGCGAAAGAATCCCATCATCCAAAGATCAGCATGGAAAATTGACGAGATCTTTCGTTCACCGCTTCACCTGTGTTCCCAAGGGTTGATCCTAGTATGACAGGCCAACCTTAAACCTACTATTACTTACTATGTACTTCCACATCTAGATCGCGGCCAAAGGTACCATCGTCTATAGTACGCGGTTATAATGCCCGTTCTAGAACGATGATTTGTTTGGCCCACTGCGCCAAAGTCTTTACTAGCGCGCAGACTTTGGCCACCAGTTTGGTGGATTTTCTTTTCGAGACATACCTTGTCCCAAGCTATGTGTCAAAGGAATTGAACCAACTTGCCAAATCACGTATACGCTATTTTTGTTAAAAGAAAGTATGGAAGGGAGGACAGGATCTCGAGGCACAGGCTAGATGCTTAGATCCTTGTACGTCAACACGAACTATCACCCATTTTTTTTTGTTGTTGTTGTTAATGCAATGTACCCCATGTGTTAAAGGCTAGACCAACCGCCACCTGATATTTTGGAATATGTTATGCTAATAACTTCTGCAATAGTAGAGGTACAAGCCGTTATTACCCCTGTGGCTTGGTCTACTCTTCACTATTGATTCGTACGAGACTGGTGATTGTTCGCTCCTGGCAGTCAAAGTCTCATGGTCCTCTATCTGTTTTATTTACAGAGCTTCACCGAATATGAAGCAAATATGTGCGGCACGCCTATGAACGATTAAGTAACCTACACTAAGAATTATAGACCATTTTACTTGACAGTGGAAGGTATCTTCCCTTTCCCATTTACACGATGTACAAACAAACCATGCACAATCATGGCCTAAATCAGGATGGCCGAGTACTCACCCATGTAAAAGAGAATCTAAGGACAAAATTCATTTGTCACCCGACCCGATGCCATGTGCGCGCAAGAGTCCAGATTGATCGGAGCTTTGGGCCTCAAACCCAATGTGTTTTCAAAGCTCTTGGATGAAAGTAACAAGACAGGGAAGGTTGAACAGCATCAAAACTATCTGTGAGGGAGGATCATTCAAACATTCTATATCCTTTCACGCGGTAACCAAAGTAAGGACTTAGGGTTATCGAAGCTATCTCGCTGGATGCAGTGGCTAACTCCAGAAATTTATAGTAGGGCATCAATCTCATAATCTCTGTCCCAAAAAAGAGCCTTGGAAGTTTACCCCTAGCTCATTACTAACCTCGTCCTATACTATGAACATCTTCACGGATTCAGGTAAGGTTGTATCTGTCGAGGTTCCCCACTGAGAGATGCTTACTTGTTACCATATATACTTCTATGAATTGAAATTTATGGTGCTGATGGGGATGCTAGTAGATGATTGATCCCTAATCACACTATCTACATATAAAGAAAGCCTCTGTTGTAAGGACAATCTAAACTTCACTTATAGATTTGACCTGAGGTGATTTTAACTAGCACAGCTGGCAACTAGGTTTCGCATTCCCTTGAATCCCAACCTTTGAGGGCCAAAATAGCCACTCGCTAAATCAGGGGTCATATCTGTAGAGATTCCGGCAGAGGGGATCGTGTTCTTAACGTGAGATTCTACCGTCCCATTTACGGAGCTCCAGGCCCCGGAACGCACCATCCGCAACTGTTTTAAAAATGCTAAAGTTGGCCGGACGCCTTTTTCATACGACCATTCTCAATGGAGGGGGGTTTTTCACGCGGAGAGTGGTCAATTGACTGAGACTCAGGGAACGCTGGTCATGGTGGAGACTCAGATCACAATTAGTTCTCAAGGTTTCTTTTTTTGGTGACTGACTTCTGGGGTCTCAAAGGCTTTGGGGGAGCGGTAGGAATTGCCGATGGAACTAATATCATTACATTATGTTCTATATCAATATCTATGCCACGCTTTCATGTATCGTCCAGAATTGACCAAGAGACCAGGCTCCATCAGTGGGCCCAGCAAGCTGCATGAGAACAGAATAACCAGCATAGTTTGATCATTACCATATACTAATATCATATACTCTCCGCACGAAATATTAGTCTTGATATGTTGAACATACCTAGTCACAAACCTCTAAGCACCGGTAACCGGTAAACACCCCAGAATGGTGAGACTGATGACAATGAAACCATAGTTTACTACATATACTGGTTATTTTGGTATTGGGGAATTCCAACTATCAAGGACTATATTAGCAAATGCTTACCGCAATGGATGTTAGCCAAACTAAGGCTAAGATCAATACCGTAACATCACCACACAGCCCCCTTAATCCTTGTTCGATGTGAATGAGGAAAGCTAAACCGGCTCTTCTCTTTGGTTATCTTTAGTCCCTCCAGCCTTTGCCCACAAACCCTCTTTCAGGCCCTGTCGCACCTCTCTAACAAGGAGCTACACCCCCACAGTCCAATCGATAAGAGAAGTTCGCAATCAAAGACTTACAAACTGCTCTTTCCATAGGTCTTGCAATTCTCTTTCTTTTATCTCTTAACTCGAATCATCCCTTACCTCATACGCTCGCACACGCCTCAGCTTGCCGCCTACATCCAGAAAGTCGGCCTTTCAAATTCGCCTCTTATTGCAAATGCCATATACGCAAGAAAGCAAAAAAGAAGAAAAAAAAAAAAGAAAGCTATATCATTGATAATACCCTGGCCAAAAATCAATCTCCATCGTTTAGGTGTACGCCATACTGTCATAGGAAGGATCTGGCTTCAATAATCTGACAGCAATAATCGGTAGTGTTGTAATGTGGCTCTATTACCAAAACTGTAGATAGCTAGAGTATCAAAGTTCTTGCGATGCAGGACAGCAAGCGAGAATCTGATACTAATGATGCTCTTGCATTGCTGAGATATGTAGAGGAGAAACGGGGATGTCTCCTGGACAGAGGCTATATTCAACGCTTGAATATGGACTCTACAGAGATTCCACCAGACAAAGAAACAGTGGAGAATATTGTGGTGGCTTATCGGAAGAAGTTTAACGAGGATGGTTTTGTTTAGCTTGCGGAGTGCGATGATTCAAGTGACCCTAGACTGTGCGAAAGAAACCATCATTTGTTACGATGTCCTTCTTTCCAAAGTTAGCATTCTAACTACCTTCTTCGAGTACTAGTTTGCCTGAGGATTCTCGTGTACTGTCTGCTAAGTCTTTAATCAAGTGATAGTCTTGCAGCTATACTGCTAGTCCAGCACGGAGCGACTTCTGGTTCAAAGGGTGGTAGTTCTTCATCAAGCTTCTCACAGTAGCTATTCTTGGTTACATCACGCCATATTTCTAGCCCCAGCCGCCAGTTGAAGGCCTCGACAAGCTCTTCGGCAATAGAGACAAGAATAGCGTACCGAATAGGATCACTACCACTGGGGTCCGGCATGCGGTGGACCTCCCATGACTACCGCACCTGGTGCCAAAAGTATTCTACTTCTGCAGGTATAGCGGTATATTGCCGCGCAGCCATCGAGACTCGAAAAGAGGGATAGTATTCAGGATATCCTTGGATCGAACCGGGTCTGGAAGGCGAAAGTGCCATGTCGGTATGGCCACAAAGAGACAGAGTAAAGCGAGGAGCGGATATCTATGTCGGAGGCTAAGACAGGTGAGGCTGCCGCGCAGGCAGAGTGGCGACTCATAAGTGTGTATAAATCGAACAAGCTGCATCCACAAAGTGACTCAGGGTCGTGGGTTGTCGTTCGTTACCATGTTACAAATTACAATGACCTGGAACCGGGTACGAGCAGTAGTCTACCTATAAGGCCACGAGCGACCGATAAGTTTCACTAGAGGTAGGTATGCAGCGGTATCGCGAAATGATGTGGGCCATTCTGCCTATCGAGCTTTTTTTTCTCCTCTCTTTTGATTATGTGATTACTATTTCTCTACGATGATAGCTAAAACCAGAATAGACCGGTCTCGAACATTACGAGGCAATGAAGGGGTACTGTAACTATATCCACCTTCCATAGCGGCTTCTACAACCGCTGCTAAGGAACTAATACCGTGAATCTTTTCATTACCGAGTAACCTGACTGCGGACTATATCCATTTGCTATAATCTAGTGACATATTTTACATATGTTGTTTATTTCCCTTTAGCTCTGGTCGAATCTTTGCAAGATGTTAACTAATCTCCATTGTTTGACTCATATGCTTTGCTTGGCATTTGCTTAGAAGGACTCTACTATAATACTTAACGGGGCCATTCAAGAGAATATGTCTGCCTTAGAGAATGTGTCTATATACACCTTCGGAAAGATAGAAATCTAGAAGAATCGTTTACTCCTAAGACCAAGGGTCTGTCTCTAGTGGTCTTTGATGCATAATCGTAGTCATCTGAAAATACGAGACATCGGCTCAGGCTCGTATTACTTGTTTGGGTGTTTTAAGTATACTTGGTCCAGCACCGTGGCATAGCCACCCTGTCAGACTCGTATTATGAAATGTTTTACCATATTTGATCCTTTGGAGTCAAGGGTGTGGCAGTGTCGATCTTCTAGATGTTCTTTCTCCACTTTGAAATCCAGCCCTACCCGTGCCAAGGCGGTGTACCATTGGTGGAAGTCCTGCACGAAACTACGAAAGGCTTGGTTCAAGCTTATTTTCTACGGCTGCCTGTCGTGTCGTCACTGCTGCGCGTTCTTTTACCAAAATAAAGGGTCAGAGTCCTTTAGGGTTGGTACGAGCCCGAGACCCGTATTCGATAACGTTTAGCGCTCACTGCTCGGAACCTGGGAATGAGTCTCGGTGAACTGTGGATGGCTTTTGTTCAGACGAATACGGCCAATCTTTCTAATGACGTCCTCATCGCGCTTAAAATTGCAGTCACCTTCAAGGTCAACACTCCGGAGACCTAGAGAAAACAAAGAAATAAGTTGAAGGGTAAAAACCTGTTTAGATGGCATGTTGTGTGCCCAAAATAAACCCGGTGTAGGGCTAAGTAGGGCTCAATTAGGCAGACAGGTAAAGCGTTTCACAAATACGATCCGATGATGGAATCCCTACGGATCCGCAGTCCGTTCCACGGCGGTGTCCGCGGGGTCCGCATCAGCAAATGTCACACCTCCTGGCCATTGAACTTAAAAAGGAAGCACTATAGTTGAAGACTACGCGCCGGGCCCCTTGTCTGCATAGACCAATCCTGGTCCAACGAATGCTACTGCCTAAGTATTCGTCGGCATACCCGATGTCATTCTATTGCCAGATCCGACTTTTATTGTTTGGTGTGAGTGGAGGCGAAGCCTCTATCCACTCACTACCCTCATGGGATCCTTTAGGGGTCCGTTAAAGGGCTCTTTAATCTGAACTGATCACAGGAGCCTACCTGTCTCCCAGACAATGAAGCAAAAAATTTCGCATTCTGTTATACCAATTGCCCACCATGTCTACTCAGTCGAGCGTTGAAGACGTTCCCCCAACTGTCCCACAGTTGTCCCACGGCGCAAAGACCAAGCGACCGAAGGCCTCTAAAAAGAAGTCAAACCCGCCAAAGAAAGACCTCCTATTTCGTACTGTGGGCGAGTCTCTGGCAAGTCAACTATTCGGCCACTCCAAGCTAGATAATACATGCAGTTGTTGTGCAGTCACTGCGGATCGCCAACGTGATCAGATTTTCTTACTTCCACCAGCTGCGCATCCTACGCATGACGCAAGATCCCGCCGCTGTGGCAGCAGCTGTTGTGAGAGTAGCAGCAGCAGCCAAACCCTTGTGGAACCCACATCAGACTCAGATGCGCTATCCTCTCGACATTCCTCGAACACATACGGTCGTTCAAGCTCCGAATCATCCTTGTGCCTGGGACGCACCGGATTCGTCCCACTGTCCACGTCGACATCCCTACCGCACATCAACCTACCCGACCGAGATCATATGGACAATGCCGAAGTTTTAGAGAGATTAGCTGGGCGCTATGGGAAAGTCTCACATATGGTAATACTCGACCGGAGTTATAGTTTCTTCCTCAACAAGGCCCGGACCGGGGCTTTGTGTTATAAGGTGCAAAATCAGGTAGCAATAGTCGCAGGCGACCCCCTATGCGAGCCGTACTTGTTTTCCGATCTCCTAGATGAGTTTAAGGCATATCGAAAACAGTTCCACTGGGGAATTGCTTTCATGGGGGCCAGTGACAGTCTAGTCAAGCATGCGCGACAGCAACATTGGGCTACATTACAGTTTGGTGCTGAGCGAGTGCTCAATCCAATGACGAACGATGTCCTTATGGAGCGAAGCGGCAAGCGAATCATCGTCCAAAACAAGCAACTACTCAATCCAGACAAAGGTGGTATCACCTTAGGTGTTTATGCCCCAGCATACGGGGCAGACCCGTCCCTACAGAGCGAGCTAATGGGCATTTATGAATCATGGCGGCATCACCGCAACCAAGCCGCCGCCGCAGCCCAGGCTTTTATTACCGTTTATAACCCCTTCGACTTTCCTAATCTGATGATCTATATATATACCCGGGGCCCCGATGGTGTCGCTAACGGATTCGCGGCGCTTCGTCGGGTTGGTGCCAACCAAGGATACCATATTGACCCCTGCATTGCGGCTCCCGAGGCACCCAAAGGAATTAGTGACTTGCTGGCTTACGCAGCCATGGCGCTTCTCAACCAAATGAATGTATCTTACCTCAGTCTCGGATACGAACCTCTTACGACCCTGGGCGATGTGACGGGCTTACCGTCGACCATTGAGAGAATTACGCGGTCGTTATACCGTCACACCTTTCAGCGATTACCTATAGGGGGAAAAAAGGCGTATCATGACAAGTTCCGCCCCGACCCGTTCCTGGATTCAGAGTTATATTTGGTGTTTCCATCAGGTGTCCCTGGGCTGCGACATATGCTGGCCATGGTCCATATGGCCAACATCAGTATCCGCAAGCTTGTTCGCTCCGAAGTGAAGTCCGCCTCACATAAAGAAACCCCAGGAGAAGATAGATGATATACCTCGTCATCGATATGTTTGCGTTCTATATTTCATTACTAATATCTGAACTTCATACGGGATTGGTGTTTCGGTTTGCAGTCGTCATTCTATTGGAGTTACAAAGACATATATAACTATACAGTGACACTTATCCATGGATGCTGACCATTGGTTGTACATGCCTAAGAAGCACTGCACCATGATTTCTTGTACTATATATCATCACCGGCGTTCCTTGGGCCTCATGTATTCGAGTATAGGCACATTCTGTTTTGATCACACATTTGGTTAGTGTTGGGTTTCAGTTTCAATACCACATAAATTGTCATTCCTGTCATTCTATCTAGACATCATCTTAAGTATTTCTTAAGGTAAAAGAATTCCGGTGCGTTTCAAGACTAAGTGATCCGATTAGAAACACAACACACCGTCCGACAGCTAACATTGCTGGATTTAAATAAGAGCCATGTAGCCAATTGGGCCCCTAAGCTCACTGCTACGGACTAACAGCTAATATAAGTACATTTGGATATATAGAAGCTATGTGGCTAACCAAGGCCACTTGATTTGAGAAAGATGCGCTGAAAATTCTTACTTCCGGCGGCCCAAGGGACATGTCGGGTTGGCGTAATGAATATTGAGTAGTTCTTTGGGTGAAACTTACGCTCAAAGTTAAGCTCCTTTTGCGCTTTTCCACGTTATTCCGTCTCATGAACGCTTGTGGATACAACTACAAACCCTAGCCCCCTTCTAACCTTCTAGGCCGTGGAGGGTCAACTCAAAGCTCCACTCCACCCATCCGTATTCAATAACTTAATAGTATACTTACTCAACACTCGGTCGGCCACGGCTTAACGTAAAAGTAGCTCAATGAGAATGTAACTTTTATCTTCCATACATAATTCCTATAGAAACGCTACAACTACATTCCTTCATTAAACTCTCCCATCATCAAGAGCCGGATAGCGTAAGCCGAAGATAGAAATTAAATGCCGAACCCGAAGCCTTCCGTCTTAGCAACTAACTCCGGGAACGGCCGGCAAAGCTAGCGGGAGAAGAATAGTTAGTACTACCCTTTTAGTCAACGGCCATCGGCGGATGTCCTTCTCTACGGAAATCTTGGAAACCCCTGGCTGTTGATAAACACTGCGTTGTATCTCTCGCTGAAGATTGATCCACCTCGGACTCGGCATATCTATTTCCTGATTTAGTTTAGTGCGTTATATCATCTTACTGGTACTGTTCAGCTGAGGTATCCAGATTCGGCGTAGCGACCAGGGTGTAGTGATAGATGTCTGTTTGTGATGGGGTATTGATTATGTGGTTGCAAAGGTTCTTTGGACGCAGTAGTCTGGTACTATTGGCGCTGGAATGTGGTGTGCGTCTGTTTTGGGCCTTGTCGGGCATTCATAGCTATGCGGTGCGTTAGTAAATATATCTTCCAAGTTTTTATGGACTTGAATTGGCGATCGCTAGTTACTCCGTGTGTTAAGTGAAGACTAGGAAGGATGAGATGCTGATTGTTTTGTACAGTAGTGTAGTTGAAGCTGTTTTTGTAGTTTAAATCGAAGATGAAATCTATTTATATATCAAGAGTTCATCTGTGGTTTTGGATTGTATAGGGGGTCACAATAAGAAACTATATTAGTTATTATGTCAGTAATTTCCATATGAAAATTGTGAGTGTTCTGATGGAGCTGAGACTGAGAAGTAAGTTCCATCTGGCACAGGGCCTGTTCACAATAATATACTGAATCGTGCATAGTCTAACACCATCATGAGTAGGAATCTTGGATATGGGCTATATATTAGTTAGTTCCGGGTCTGGTCGCAATTATAAGGTATGGCATGAAAAAGGCACTATCAAAATAAATAATGGAGGGCATTGAGCATCATGAGAGGGTAACCATGAACTTGCCCTAATCTATGGCAATACCGCTGGTGATAGTAGAGCTGATTCTGAGGAAATAATTACTTGGAAGAAATGGTGTCGATGGGTATTGATGACGGTCCTATATCTTTATTCCTTTTGCTTCAAAGCACAATCGCGAAGATAAGGGGACAGGAGAAGTTGCTTATTTGACTGAGATGCATCGAAAGCGAGCTTTGTATCAACGTCTACATGGCCATCATTATGCTAGGAGCTGGCGACATCCTTGGAGGAGTAGTGTATAGCTATTCGATAATTATTCAAAAGACTATGGAAGCGACGTTGAAAACTTTCCGGAGGACGCTTTACTAAACTTGCTGGCAATAAGAGGAATGCTTCTTGTCTTGAACGATGCGAATTTAACAAGAATTGCCGCTGGATTCTATATTTTGCTCTAATTTTGATATCTACTGTAGGGTATAGAAAGCTAGACTGTCACATTAGACTAAGTGAAATATGAATAAAGTGGAAGAGTATACTGGAACTAAGTAAGAAATTGTAGCTACTAGGCGGAATATTGGCTGGATGATGGCAACAAACAAGAACAAACAAGAACTTACGCGGTTTAACCAGGGAGCTCTGGTTTAACAAAGTATAGATGGTGAAATATGTATGGCAGGTGAAGAGTGAATAGTTCATTATTCAACTTATGAGCTTAGAAGTCGTAGTCTAAGTATAACAAGTTTCTTCGACAGCATTATTACAATGCTGGCCGAGTTTGAATGTATCCATATATCTCATGGCCCATGTGCTGTATAGATTGTTTAGAAATGGGGATGAAATGGACATATGAAGCCCTCCCATACTGGTCATCTACAATCATGAAACACAGCCAGCTTGTTCCTAAATCTAATGCTCTTGGAAGAGAGTAATCTTGTCATTTTGTTGGACTTTAAATGCCCCAAATGGTATGGATGGGATTCGGTGATAGTCTTCCACGTTGGCCTGATAATAAGTCACCCACAACAAGCGGGGTCGTTTCTTTTGTCATTTCGCAATACTAGCTGTGCATGTGATATATTTCGGGCCTTCAGTGATAGTAGGAAAAAAAAGAATGCAGGAATAATAGTTCGCAAATGACGCTTTCACTTCACTTACCAGCCGACGCACAGGATTCTTTTTTACAAAGAGAGCCGATCATAGCCACACGAAGGTATACTTTCCCGAAATATACTCGTGATACATTTTAAATACGCAGTGATTTTGCAGATACGAAGTTCTCATCACCCATGACTTGTTCATTGCACAGAAGCCCATTTCGGCTTCATGAACGAGTCAGACCGCCATCTTTGAGCCGCAGGCGCTGCCATGACCAGGTCAACAGACTAGCTACATGGAAGCATCTAAGTGCTAGTCGTACAAACACACCAGTCAGAACCAGTGCCAGTCCACTTCTCCTAGGATGGCCGGTCGGAATAGAACACTTGCGTAATTTATTCCCATATTTTCTTTTCTCCATCCTCCCTATCAGAGAAGCTAACATGTAGCACCTGTGCAGACAAACATAGTATATTGGGCATCCGCGCAAAATGAATACACAATACTACCCAAGATCTACATTTTGGCATCAAGCTCGAATGAGGCTCTTGCAACGAATGGGGTATATGAGGCGGAAGAGATTCCGTGATGATCAAATAGAACAAGCTGGTTGCAGTGCATCAAGCCTTGCTGGGCTATCTTTTACTGCTGACTCTACTCATTAGATATTGTGAGTTGCCAAGGCTAAACCATCGTTACTGAGCGTTTTGTTTGGCTCTGGTTGAATGAGTGCTCACTCCGGTAGATTGAGTGGCAAAGACATCATTGTCTCTTTATTATGGAAAGTCAGACGATTATCATGCGATATGTCAAGCAGGATCTCCTGGAGGCACTGCTGAGGAGGCGATACCCACAGGGAGGGTATCAAGTTAGTGTAAGTTTAGGTTTTCCATCTTAATGAAAGGATACCAGAAGACCAGATTGAAATCCTCACCCTCATTTTTCTTGACTCAATTTTGGTTGTTTGTTTTTCCTCCACGTATTGCGTGTCTTACGTGTTTGCCTTACCCAACTCAATTATTCTCATTTTGGCTATCAAATTCAGCCTTGCAGGCCTGGTTGCTAAGCGCGGAGAAGGCGCGGAGAAACACCTCAGCATCAGCGCAGCTTACGGCAACTAATGCATCATAAGGTTGGATAAGATGGGGCTGTGCTAACTTGGACAGAAGATTCGTCGAGGGATTTGTTACCTGAACTTACCGGAAGCATTATCGCAGGTCTGTCATTGCGCCGAACCCGCCCCCCCTTTGCACCGGGCTTGAGACGAATCCCTTATGGATGCATAATCTGTGAGACGTAATACTAATGCTGACCCAATAGGATGATATTGAAAGTTGTAGCGAAGCCTGACCAGGGTCTCGTGCTCAGAAGTACGCAGCTGAAAGACAAATCGTTTTCGCTTCTATTCATAGCAAAGAGTGGTCACGGTATATAAGGATGAGAAAAAAAAAAATATATTATCTGCTTGAGCTCCTCCAAACCATGCCTATTGTGCGAATTGTGAATATGAATGTTTCGATTTATTTTCGTGTCTAAATCTGGTCTCTTGATTCTTCTTGATGTTGAGTGTGCAAAAGCAAATTTCACAGCCTTGTGGTGCGATGAGCCGAGGACGCTCCTTCAGTATAACCCCCAATCAGGTTATTGAAGGCAAATACATGAATCCGAAGAAGCTCGTTAAATTATTAAAAAATGAATATGGGCAAGCTAACTTTCGAGTCGAGGTGTGTTTCTTTGCTCTTTTGTCAGGGCATCTGTCCATAGCTAAGGTATGCCGCTTAGTTACGCCTGGATCAATATAAAATATACGTGTTGGACCAAGAACGAGCACGCTCTCCGGGACTGACTCAGGTTTGAGCCTTGTGGGTCACTGCGTGATAGAAATTACTGAATCTTTACACAGGAGCAAATCAACGAGTGTCGAGTATTGTATTAGCAGATCTCCATGCGAACAATATCAATACGTTGTACAGTAAACATCAAACGTGGACCCGCGCAAAACGCTGCACAGTCGGGAAGATGGTGGGGTGGTGGGGGGGGGGGGTGGTGAGGAGGTTGTACATACACGACGACGGTTTAGTTTGGCCTAATGTTGATTGACATACCTATTACTCCTTAAGTGCAGACAGAACATCACCTTGTGATGGCAACCCGCATAAGTCCCCCAGCATGAACCCTCACTTATAGGCCTTGATAAAGTAATGATCCCCCCTCATTGGCTAGTGTAGGCGCTACGACCAAGGCTGACCCTCAATTTTGAAAGAGGCATTCCGCGAGCCCTGCAGTGTCTCCAGCTGACAGGCATACATGAGAAAAGCCTGCCGATCGCTTGACATGTGAGTTGGCATTCGGGCCGTCACTTTACATTCGCTCCGCGCTCGGCTGTCTTTTGCCCTCATAAGACCAGTTTTGCCCGATAGTTCCAAGTGCTAACCGGGTAGAAACATTGTCACCCAATGCCTTGGGGGACCTATGGCTGCGGCTTAAATGTTAAGCCTCAATAGAGCTGCGATGACAATGATCAGCCTCTTGAATTAGAGCCGCATACAACAGATATCGTGAGTACTGAGATTAAAGCCTCAAGCTGTGCTCTTGAAGTGTATATAAATGCAAGAATCTCCAGACTCGTGGCATTCCAGATGTTAATTAACAATTCAATCCCTCGGGGCGCCGGACAATGGACTCCATCTGCGCTTCTTCCCGTGTTGATCAATTCCTAGAGGAGAAAATCAAGTCTAGGACGAACAGTCTCTTTAAATCCAGGAATGATGTTACCCAGCTAGTAGTTTATCATCTTTCTTCGACAAAGGATTCATGTGGCAGACGGACATTGCAAACCAACCAACCTATCCCGATTAATCACGTCTCCGAACTGAAGCGACTCCAAAAGGTAATTCGGCCATTGTGGATGGTCTCTTCCTCATTTTATAGCTAACGTATCTATCAACTTCGCCATAGGAAGAGAATGCGGCTTGCGCACAAGTTTATACGGTCGCGCAGTTACGATCGTGGACGACATTAAACATATCGAGCGAACTTTTCCACTATCTCTTAGACGCACATAGCGTCTTTCCATATTTCTGGAAGTCGGCCCTCACATTTGGCATCAGAGTGGTGGAGAACGAATATGCATTTCCTCCTTTTCGTGCTAAAAGCTCGCAGAGGGTAGATGACAAGGTTGATGGTTAGACCCCGAAAGCCCTTTCGTCTTCAAAAGCAGAGAATACCCTGTAGGTTAACTGGTAGCATAGAAATTACCTATGTGATCCGACGAGTCGAACGTAACCAACGCCCGACATCTAAAGGGGAGTGTCCCTGGTCAATTCGCCAGACAGGAGTTTACCACAAATTGACATATCCGCATGATGGCTCCCCAAGCTCCTCGGTTTTTATTCTGATTGCGCCGTCCCGTACTGTTGAGAATGAGGTCTCTCAATGCTTTCCAGGAAGCTCATCTGCGGGGGAGGTCATGACGCCGCACTTCTCTGTTCACGAGAGACTCATGGCTGATGGCCTGAGAAGCTGGATGGAGTACATGGCTTGGTTAGAGTCCGAATGTAAGCAAAAGGTCTGTTCATTCGCGATCTTTTGGTCTTCTTACTCTCACCAGTGTCTATGCACTTAAATGCATGTGCTTTCCGCTTCGGTTTACATGGGCTGAACTAGGTGCTCTTTAGGCCGACCGACTGATTGTCTGGGATGTTGAAGACCGAGATAAACACATGACATACTTCAAGGTGGAAGACAGACAACACCTTAAGCAACTGGGAGATTACATAACGGATTTGATTGTCATCCTTCAAACTGCTGTAGACACTACCGGCCGCATTGGAAAGAGCTGCCAACGACACTGCCAAATAAGCTGCACTGTCAGAGATGATTGTTTCTGTAGTTCCATGATCGGAGAGTTCGTTGAATATGAAGCAGAAGCCCGCATTTACCTGGAACGGGCAAATGTGTTACAGGAGCGGGTTCAGTCGACAGAGCAACTGGTAGGCAGCCGCCACCACCCCATCCCCTCACCACTACTGCTAACAGGCCGTGGACGGGCAGTTAACTGATCTACTGAGTTTTGAGGAGACTCGAGCCCTGAAACAATTGGCACGGGCATCACATGTGGAGACAAAAGCTTTGAAAGAACTGGCCCAGACTTCTCAGGAGGAAAGCCACCACCTCGCCGAGCTTGCAGTGCGTTATTTTCCTACGTGGCTGTGATGGACATACTGCTGATGAGGGCGTCCGATAGAAACGGAGTGCAGAAGACGCTGCGGCTGTGAAGATGCTGAGTCTTGTTGGTCTGGTTTACCTCCCCACCACCATTGTAGCGGTGCGTTCCATTGACTGGCCTTGGAATGGGTAACAAGGGCGAGATTTGCTGACTCTTCGAGATAGAATTTCTTTTCTACTGAGTTCGTTAAAATTAATGAACAGGGAGGTATATACATCTCACCTTGGGTTTGGATTTTGGCAGTCATTTCAGTTCCCTTAACAGTAGCTACGGTCTTTCTATGGATACTTTCTGTGAGATATAGTGACTCGTCTTGGTTCCTGAAGGTGACTAGGATTCATCATCAGCCTGTATTGCACAGGGAGGGAGAAGAGACAGACTTGGAACGGGGCAGGTTGCGAGGCCGGACGGAGTTTGAGGTGAATCAGGGTGCGATGCCCTTATTCAGCCTGACGCGCCCGTCCACCTATGCCACTGCCACCACAAAGGCTGATTAAACTAGCAAGTTTAACCCCTTTGCCCGTTATTATGTAACTAGATTTTGCCTTGGAAAGGGTGAATGGAGTAGACAAGTACCCACAGCCTTCATTAGTTTACTGTAGGTCGAATGGACAGCATCCTACTAGTACAATACTATGTAGATATTATTATGGAAGAGAAAATAACGCCCAAATGCCCCTCTTTCAATATTCTGGAGGATTGGGAGGGCAAAAGGAGAAAGCAAAGAAAGAGAAAGCAGCAGGAAAGGCCAAGAGAGAAGTGACGCGCAGCCGCAGGAACGACAGTCAACGTCAAGTGCGGCAAGCCGGGGAGAGCAGGGATGGAATGGTCCGAATGGACAAGACTTCAGCATCACTGCCTCGTTGCCCGATAATGCCCTTCTTTATTCGACAATCTATTCCTACTAGTCGAACACTATTGTCAAGCCCGCCAATGGCAAACTCCCACTGCTCGAGGACAACCATCGTTGGTGGTCTGTCCCCAAACCCGACGAAGGCAAATAAATGCACGTCGATCGAGGATTCGAATGTATTAGAATAAGATGGGAGTGTGTCTGCTCTCGCCTCTGGACCGTCATCACCAACCACTATCTATTTGACTATTACATACTACTAGGAGCAATACTAGTATTACAGTAGTATTTTTTCATGGGAAATAAATAGGCAACCAGGCGGTAGCACCCCCGCCCTACCTTTTTCTGTGTTTATTGAGCCCTTTTCACCATTTCCTCTACTTTCGTCTTCCACCCAGAAAGTGGAGCAAATCACCTCCTCCGCGCTACTCCCAATTCTACCGGACGTTTTGTCCTCTCCCAACCAAACGGAGGCGTTAAAATTGCCTTCCGTTCGTCTTGGTTATTCTTGGTCATTCTTGATATTCTTTGTATCTTTCTTTCTCTTCCTATGCTATATAGTTCTTCCCTCTAATCCCCCACATTGTATTCCTATTCGCTTTCCGCGCCCGTCACCATCCAAGCAGACCTCACGGACGTTACACTCTGATAAGCAGTTCAGCTTGTACGGCACCCATTATGTACACGCTTTGTTACTTGCTTTTCCCATTGGCGTGTGTGTTCTTGCTTCTTTCATGGAATTTGCGACGTATCCAGAATGGCCCTCGTCCCCAACCCGACTCTCCCAACCAATTCCCCCCGGCCATGAGTCCCCCCATGTCCCACCAAGGGTCTCACTCCAGTCAAGACTCGTTTCCAAGTTTGACTTCAACGTTGGATCGGATACGAGAATGCACAATCAAACTTGCGTTTATTCCGCGAAGTATTATCGATGCTGAGATCAACGAGAAAGCTGTGGAAGACATACTAGCTGAGAAAAGAATCGGTAGTGGATCCCGAAGAGCCAAGTTGGCGACGAAGATCGTCCAAAGCGCCCAAAAGCTATTCATCGTTCTGCTCATGTCAAGAAAGGTGGATTATATAAATACCTTCCTGGACCGGGGGATACAAGATGACAGTCTCCCATTCAAACTGGACGAGAACGTCTTGCGAACCAGTCAAGGCCAGGAGGTCCCGGTACCGGAAGATTGGGACTATGAAGACCTGGAAGCATTGGAAGCGAGACAGTGGCGTGTTCTCGTCCCGGTCTTTCACCAAGGTACTCATTACGATTTTCCAGAGCAGCAAATCTTTCCTTTTGTTGGGAAAGAGTCTGCCAAGTCTGCTGAAGGTGGATTTGGAAGAGTCTCCTGTGAACGCATCCACGCTGACCACCACGAATTCTGGGAAGCCCCTGACAGTAAGGTGAGCGATAGCGAGGCAGATATCTGGGCGACAGTGCATCTTGGTTGCTAACTGAGAGTAGAGCCAAGGGTGTAGAGTTGCAATCAAGACACTCCTCTCGAGAGGACGACATTTGTTTGAAAGAGAGACCCATTTCCTCAAGACTCTGGGACCCCATCCACACCTGATCAATCTTCTATGCACCTATAGCTTCAAGGAAGACAATCACCTGGTGTTCCCTTATGCAGACGAGAACTTACGAGAATACTGGAAGCGGACTGGGCTACCCGAATGGAACCACCAGATCCTCCTATGGTGTCTCAAGCAGGTGGCCGGAATCGTGGGTGGATTATCTGTGATACATAAGCTGTCCCGAGCAGGGAAGCCAAGTAGTAAGACGCTTTATGGACGACATGGTGACCTGAGACCCGCAAACATTCTATGGTTTAAGAAGCGTCCTGGGTGCACAGACCCAAACGGCATACTCTTGATTGCGGACTTAGGGCTAGCGAAACTTCACCGATTTGAGTCCAGGTCCAACGACATAGATGCAGTCTTTCCTCTTACCTACTCACCTCCTCGCCGTCCTGGGGCGCGCATAACCCGGGCCTTCGACATCTGGAGTCTTGGGTGTCTGTTATTGGAGTTTGTTACCTACATCATATGCGGTGAGAAGGCTATCGAGGAGTTCTCCCAGCTCCGGGGATACGATGACCCCTGCACCGTGCTCAATACAGATTTTTTCTACAGCATAGATCACAAGGAAGTTCGTCCATCTGTAGAATACTGGGTGGCGAAATTGAAGACAGAACCGCGGTGCTCCCCCGTGTTTTCTGACTTGCTGGACTTGATAATGTCTGGAATGATCCGCATTGAACCGGGCGAGCGAAAAAGCGCTCAAAAGATCCACCGGACATTGGACGCAATGCATAAAACGGCTGAATCCGATCCGCGATATCTTCTGGGAAATTACGAAATGCCACCGCAGCAGGAGTTGGATGACCTCCAGGAGCCTACCCCGAAAGCATTACCTTCTGCTCGAGGTGTGTCTCAGGGCTCGACCTACTTCACCCCTGATGGACACGGTCTGGGTGCCGCTATCTCCAAAGCGACACTCCTGCATTTGAACAGGCTAGGTCCTGAGATGCCGCCTAGGCTGGCGAATGATAGTGACGATTCGTGGTCCATGAGTGATTTGGGACTGCCAAGGAGCAGGGGAACATGGCCACAAGTCACTAGCAGCTGATGCTCCCGTAGTCAACCCTGCTTCTATCAAGGTGGGCACTCAGTGTTCCCCTTTGTTTAACGATAGTACCCTTTCTTCATTTCCTTCTTCTCTATGGGTCCATCTTGATTAGACTTGGGTAAGATGTAGAAGATTTATGTGTGTGTATTATCTTTGCCATGAGCGTATATCTTGGCTGATTAGCTGTTTTTGGGACTTCACTGGTGTTGGCGAATGTATCATTAGGAGGGGAGAGTTATAGATACGATATGATGAGGAAGTCGACGATCGATATCAGATATGTCACTAATGATTCTATGTTAAATGATCCGATATATGTGCGTGGTTTACTTAACGATCAGCTTGTATTGAAGCTGTTATATTGATGATGTACTGTTTAGCCAACCCAGGCTGTACTGATGCTACATGGGAGTTAGATCTGTATACTATAATGGCGTCGTGACAAACTAACACAACTAGTACTATACAGTTTAAATTAGTGTCCTCTTTTAGTGTCACTTGGCTTTCTATAAGGTGACATCGTGCCTGTACTAACCAGTGCTACTTAAAGCTTGTCTCATCCTCTTCGTTCATTTTTACAATCGGTGAAAGACCGGAGAATGAACCAACAAATTGCCTCTTATATAAAATTCTCACCCAATGATAGACAGTATGTATCGAGTTTACTCACTCACTTCCTATTCCCGGCTCCCCACCTAAACATTCAAACCGGACTGTCCGTCGAGAATAGACGCTTACTATCCAGCTCAAGCCCTAAGGCACCATATCTGCAGCTCGAGATCGAACTCTGCCCGCTCTTACAGTATAGCCTCCGTCGATCACCGCGGGACGATGACCCCAGGCCCTTTGTCTTCGCGTGGTCTCCCCTGAATGAGGGCTACAGTCAAGATGGATTCGTCCTTCTACGACACACCTCAGATGGCAAGCTGGAAAGGGTACCCCGACCCAAGATCCGCTAGACATCGTGCACGTGAAGTACTCATTTGACGTTCAAGCGCTAAAGCCAGGCGGTTCCATCACCTACTATCATAGTCTTCCACGCAGGTACAGTGGGAGCAGCTGGAGCCCATCATGGACAATTCTAGAAGAAATTTTATGGTTGGAAAGTAGGAGATACATGGCGTTATCGGTTCAAGGGTGGTGCAGTCGACTGGTGGGGATTACGGGGGAGTGGATGAACATGTCGACACGACTGTCAAGATACCAACCACCGCATCCTTGGGGGAAGGTTACTGATCCGGCGGACAATGGGGGTCCGACCTCAACTCGTGATACCTGCGTCAAATGCGACTTGAGTTCCGTATTGTAGAGAAGGGAATAAAATCTAGAGTAATAGCAGCAGCAACTTGGGGATTCTTTTTCTTTTCCCACATGATATTAAAGAATTACAGGTATATTAAGATTTCTATTCTTCACTTTCCGACGCGCTTTCTGCGAGCAAAGGTTGTGTCTCGTGATCTGTAGAGAACTGCTCGTAACAATATATCTTGAAATACAAGCCAGTCTGAACATAAGCAAATATCATATTATCCACTGCCGCCCACCATACATATATAAAAATGTTCAGGGATGGTAGCCCAAAAAGGAAGATCTGGAAGGTTACTGTTGTATAAATTAGTTCTTATGGTCTACGAGATAGTGACGAGAGGGAAGATCACAGTCTGAGCGGCTAGAACTGTCTGACTGAGGGAGTGAAGCTGGGTTCGAGTGCGAAGCTCGTGATTCTGTAGAAACCAGGTATTAAATTCCTACCAGTGTCATTACCGGGTGAATATAGCCGTAATGGTATCCGCCAAAGATATCAAGCCCGAAGTTGCGGTATGCTGTATCCTCTCCGGTGCTGGTAAGATAATAGTTAATGGTATCGGCAACGACAGGGACGATAGAGACCAGCAAGAGTGCAATGTATATGATCGAGGCGGAGACCTTGTATTTACGACTGTGCTGGTCGGACGGGTAGTAGAGGCCCAGAAAAAAATCTGGTAAATATTAACAGTTGTGTGTACGAAATTTTAGTAACGATATTGCCATACAATAAAAGCTATAGTATCTACACAGCTGCTAACTGGGCAAGGTTGATCCAATCTCTGATTGTCTTTTGGATGATATCGGTGTACTCTGTCTGATTGACAAGTAGAAAGAACAGTAGGGTAAACTGCTCTATAACACTTATCAAGTTACAGAGGATGTATGAGAGTGACAGGCCCCATAAACTACTTCGTACACCATATTCGCTGCAACTGCGGCAGAAAGGAGGCTACACTCAAAATCAGGAGGATACAGTGTTCGGTGTCAATGTAGGCGTCTTGCCATTATTAGAGAAACGTACACCCTGAGCCAGTTGGGGACGATGTCCAAGTTCATCTTGACCATTTGCAATGAACAAGTGAATTAGGAGAAGTTCTAATTTATGACCTCGCGAAAACTTCCAAAGTCACTAGTGAAAGTGCCCTTCGGGTCTTCCCGCCATTTTATCCTTGAGATGTTAAATCCATTGGTTTATTCTCGCAACATTATCCCATGCATGTCTTAGGACCCATATCCCGGGGCCACTAGGTCTCTCGCTCGGATCTAGTTAACCAAAGAATCAATTGATTGATCGAATATTACATCTAGAACATTTACTAATGCTCGCTTAATCGTACACCGAGCCATTGGTTCATTATCCTCACGGAAGCCCCCCCCCCCCCCCCAGAGTAAGTTAGGGCTCCGAAATTAGTGCTGGCGTTTTAAGATTTGGATAACCAGTCTACTCGAAGGACAGGGAAGGCAAAGAACATGATGACATAGTTTAATGCTACAATCTGGCTACTGATATCTTCCTTTCCGGAAATGAATTTGGGAAACTATCAACAAGATAATAAGTACGGTGGTAAAAGGAGGGCTTTTTTTTTTTAAAGCTATATAGGGGATCTGGCTAGCTTTGAAGGTAAACAAGTGGAATTTGGAAATCCAAATGAGAGGCCAACAAGAACGGGTCTTAATTTGCTAGCACATAATAACGACTGAGAGTTCTATAAACTAAGAACATTGAGCGATTAATGCCAGTTACGGACAAGAAGGAGAAGATATATATACAGTTCATGTTGATCCTCAGAACTCCCTCTCTAAAGCCCTTTAGATGCAGTCAATTTCCTCATATCAGTGGGCCAAACATCAAAAAATGGTCGACTAAAAGCCTCCATAATTTCGGGGGTTTTGTTAATCAATGCACGGAGAAACCAATCATCTATAGCAGTCTCCGGGTCATTCGCACACCTCAATTTATTCTGTGTACTCAAAGGGTCCACAAAGGTCTGGAAAGCCCTTCTCCGCTCATCAGAATAGAGATCCAGGAGATCCATGGGTTTCTTTTGGTTAATAATTAAATCAAGCGTGTCCGCCGCAGCATCGGCATCCAACAACCCAGTTGTCAGGCCCAAAGCACCGAATGGCTGTCAGACAAATCAGTTAGCTTCAAAAAACTTCTCAAGTAAAAAAAAAAAAAAATGGTAGTCTCCTTACATTGTTCAAGTGGGCTGCATCGCCAGCAAGAAGACATCTTCCCTTCCTCATAGTAAACGCGCAAAGCTGATGCGTCCGATATGCTGAAGAGTTCAGAATTTTCACGTCAAGCGGTCTCGGCCCGGGGGCTAAAACATCCAGGAACGTCATGAGATTCTCCTCAGACACTAACTCGGCATCCGTCCGCTTATCATTTGGATCAACCGCAATAGTGCACCTGTACGAGGTCTTCTTCCCGGGTTGAACCGGCTCCAGAGGTGTGATAAGTCCGAAGTGGACTGGATGGATCACCATTGACGTGGGGAAAACAGGGTCTAAATGCTTATCTTCTAGAAGGGCATCGACTGCTATAAGCCGCTCCGGCCAAGAATGGCCTTTGAAGTGAATGTTAAGGATTTTCCGGGTCGCGGACTTTCCTCCATCGGCACCGACAAGAAAGATACCCTTGAATTTCTCTAACCCTCCATCAAGATTCCGGACAACTGCAGTGACCGAGCTCTCGCCTTGGTGGATCTCAGAGAGCTCGCGATTGAAACTAACCTTGACCAGACCAGTCTGAAGAGCAGCTTTATAGAGCAGCTCCGTAAGCTGAGACTGAGGCAGGTAAAGGATGCCCATTCCGTGATCATCTCGTGTTTCCTCATTGCTTGCAAACGGCAAGGACGCGATAATGTCGCCCATCTTCATCCCTCCTTCGCCATCCTCAACCAAAGGCTTTCTCCAGCAGATCCCGTTCCCAGAGAACCCAAGCTTGGCTGCCTCTTTGTAAACAGGGGTCCTTTTGAGAGCAGCCAAAGCGGCACCATGGTATCCAGCCGCGCGCGGCTGGCGACTGAGTTCTGCGTTCTTCTCAATCACGTCCACGGCGATACCAACAGTCGCGAGTTTTAGCGCAGTCATCAAGCCCACTGGTCCAGCGCCAACAACAATCACTCGTTCCATGGGGTGCTCGTTGGTAGATAGATGACTAGCTGGGGTTGAGCTTGAGGGCTGCATGGTTCCTGGAACGCAACGAGATTGAATAGTAATGTCCGAAAAGAAGTTGAAAATGGTAAATAATTGTCGACTTAAGAAGTTGAAGCTACTTTGATGTATCTTTTTTCAGCTCATGAATCGCTTCACAATGTAATACCCCCGAGCTGGCGAACTTGCTCGTTTTATAGTATGACCGGTGTCCCGACAGTCGGGTTTTGATAAAATAACTTACATCGCCCGGGGGGGGGGGGGGGGGGGGGCTAAAACGCCACTGTTTTGCATGGACTGGTTTCAGTCTAACTAACAATTGAACGAAAAGCGGCAGAGACATAAAATAGCACCACTATGGAAATGACAAGTGACTAGGAGATCGTTGTGGAGGTTCCGGGTTTTGTGTACTATAAGTCTATAACTATACTACGTATTAAATGTAATCTGACCGGAGTCTGGAAACGGACCCACGGCAGATCTGATACCAATTCGGTTGTCGGCCGGGGTTTGGGAATCAGCCGAGAAGATTACTTACTGAGGCTTATACCATTATTCAAGTCTACTATAATGAAGAAAGCAAGACTATGTATGTGGGTTAATACCTAGGCTTGACAGGAATAGTAATCCTGTCACGGGTAAGAATTGAGACCTAGGGCTATCAACCTCTATTATAATCTTCTTATAGTATAGTTATTACTGACTATCTCTACACAAGAGAAATGAACTAACTAGGTTATGCTATCACTGAAGACTATCTTTATACTATATTAGAGGCACTATAGTAAAAGATGTTAAGTTAACAGGGAAGCTTATTAGAGTAGAAAGTCGATATCTACTAGCAAAGACGACCCATTCCGTGGGTCTCGTTCATCGTGTCAACCCAAAGCTGGCCCTGTACCTCGTAGACAGATCGATAAGCGTGTTGGTGGTGTCCATAATATCAGAGAATGACTAATAAATAAGAACAAGCACTCGACGTATACGGCTATGGTGAACGAGTGAGTTGGCCGAGAGACGCATGAGGCGGGCTTGGTAAGGGGGCCAGACATCGTGGGTAGATGTAAAGAGGTAAGTTACGAGTTTGTTGCGAAGTCAAATGAATATTCAAGACAAATATCGATGGCTTAGAGTCGGGGAGATATTCAGTAGCCAATTTTGATTAATATCATAAACTAGCTGTTGTTGGCAGAGTCGCAGAATATGAGGGGATGATCACATTGATGTAAGAGATCTCATATCTCAACCTACACTAATGCAAGTATTTGGTCTATCATGCCAGAATTATTGGATATTAAATCCGTTCGTACTGTATTTACTGCCGAGGCCGAGTGCCATGGATAAGATCAGTGCACCGATCTAACAATATCCGACATCTGAGGTTGTTTATGGGCACTGAAATCTTTTAGTTAGATGTTCCCTCAAGCCTCATTGGGTCTTTCGTCTAGAGCAATGCAGTCGTATAGGTACCAAGGAGCTTACGGGGAAGAATAGGTCCTCCTTAGTATACAGCGATGCAAGCCTTTGATTCAATTGGTCAAAAGCAGTGCTATAGTCCAACATCCACCATTAAAACCAAACATCTCCACCACAACTTATCAAGGCTTCACTAAAGCCTCGTAAACCAAGTGTCAGATTCAATGGATCGTATTCAGTAGGAATGACGGATTATGTCCATTCTTCGGGGGCACCCACTGAGGGATAATCGCCCACTACTGAGGAACTCATCCCTTCTCCATCGCCGATAAAAGAGGGGCGATCGATCTGACTATCGTTGTCGCGCACACATAACGATCTGGGTTCGATCATATTTATTGATTACGCCAGCTGTGACAACCATGAGAACATGACATGATAATCAACCCCACGCGCTGCTCTCTATCATCGAATAAGTCTGAGAGCAGCCGATGCACAGGCCACATATCTTGCAAAGATGGCAAGACACCGCGAACTTGACGTGCTTGATCCCCACAGAAACCGATAATAGTCTTTTCGTGGCGTCATAGAAATGCCCCAGCATAGCCAATGACCGGTCATCAAACATCCACCTAGTCGTACCGTTCATACGCCATCCGTGAACAATGCTCGTGTGGTTCGTCACTGTGGTTTACATTATTCATGCGGGGAAGTACGGTAAGCATATAGAGGAGCATATGGTGCTCAGCAGGTAGGTTTAAGGGACCTGGTCGCTACTATGGTACATCCAGGAACCAGCCGCGTGGCTTAATGTCTTCTCGGGCATACAGATGACGTGCCAAAAAAAATAATAATAATAATAATAATTGCTTCTATACAGAGAAGTACGAGATTGACGAGCCTTGGGGAGTTTAGCGCTACCTTCCCAACATGACGTCGTGTATCTGAGACGGCCTCGATCGCTTCAATGTTATCAGAGAGGCCAGCCCGTCGCCACATTCGACGCTGATAGGCGGAGTGCAACTGTACATGAACTGCACCGAATGAACCCAGCCAACAAGAATGGCATATCAGCGAACATCATTACTGACATGAGCACCGCAACCTGTGGTTGACCATTGTTGGTTTCAGAGAGGTGGCGGTTGATTATCCCGCGAATTACAGGCGACGAACTAGCATCTAAACCGTGGTTTTGAAGGCTCACCGAACCATCTCTTTTCCTAAAGTCTAAGATGACGGGCATGTCCGACCCAGCATTCAGGTATTGCCTGTCTGGGTAACAGCGTACAGGTCAATTAACTTTGAATCATGGACATTTATATCCATGCATTTAAAAGACCTGACAGCCCCCTGGGCCAAAAGAAAAAAAAAAAGCCACCACCTGTGTGAAACAAGTCAGCTAGAATCACCGTCCTCCCGACTATGGCAATAGCAGCAGCAGAACTTAAACAATCTGCTAGTTTCTTCCGGCAAGCTTCTCGCGTCAGTGTACCTGGTCGATCGTCTCTGGCTGCGATTTCACAAGGAAAGCTACAGAAAGAATCTCTTTCTCGTACCCCCGACCTCCGTCGCTGTCTGGGCCACCACGGCGTCTACCGCAAGTGCGTGCAAGCCGCTCAAGAAGCTGCAAGTCAGCCTATGCAAGCATCCCATGGTGTAAACAATAGCCAAGCTCCTACTATTCCGGGCAACGCAACAAAGCATAAATCCACTGCTCCTCCTCCTCCTCCTATCCGATCCCAAATTACGCAAGCCATCAAAGCCATAACCCAACGCCGACATGTCACTGCATTTATCAAGCCCGAGAACGATCTGATCCGGGTACCAGCACATGCCTCGCCCCGGAAGAGCAACATGACTGGGAATCTGCAGTGCAGAGTCAAATTACTCTTCAGCCGGAAATCTTTGCCTGGGGAGCGGTCTCTGTGGCAGGAGGCCGCGAGTTGATGCTCTCACGTCAAAATTATTTGATCATGCATCATTATCATCGACTACTTTTATTTATTCTATCTTCGATTGCAGGGACAATCGTTTCATCTCACCTCTTCCATCCGGGATGGAACCTTCAGATCTGTTACCATACAGATCTATGATATTACTGAGACGCTCAACTTGGTACGACAGTTATGATTAATGAATTGGGTTCGCATGTGCATTTCCATAATGCATTGTCACGATGAACGTGCAATAGGTTACATTTTATGAATAGAAATCTTTCCCAAAAATAATGGGAGGCTTTTCCGACAGATGTAGAAGAACAAGGAAGTATAAAATTAGCGGGGCTACAAAGCCCTCAAAAGGAAATGAACTCGCAGTATTAAGTCAGAATCTTCATGATTCTCGTTTTAAGTCATCCAGCAATCATTCAATTACACTTCCTGCTTCATGCAACCATCCAAATAAAATTTCCACAAGATAATTCCGAATAAGAAGCAAGCCCTAGCCAATGACCTCACTCTCATACTTGCCGTCTCTTCAAAAAAGAAGACCCTGCAAACCAAACAAACACTTCCAATCTCGGACTAGTTTTATCGCAAACCAATTCCTATCTATCTAAACTCCAACGAACAATTCACGATCACCAACAATCTTACGATACAACCTCTTAGCATATAATATATTCTTCAACTTTCGGTCTTCACCTCTACCTCCCCTCTCAGGATATTCTGCCCCGAAACACTCAACCAATAAATCAACAAAACCCTCTCAAAATGCCCCCCAAGGAACCGCTACGAAATGCCCTCACCTTCGAAAAAAAGAATAAAGACATGCTCAAGCTCCCCAAACGTCCGTCACTCCCAATCCCCTTCAAAAAAAAAATAATAATGAAAAATAGTTAGACCAACACAAAACCAAACCAAAACCCAAAACTAACATCCTAAACCACAGATGCCGGAATCCAAAAACGCCCTATCCCCCATGCCCCAATAGCATCCCCATACGCCGGCTCCAGCGTCCCCAAAATCGTCTACATGTCAACCAACACGCCCTTCATGAGCGCCGTGAAACGCGTGCAGAAGTTCCTCCGACAGGCTGAGAAACGCGCGACCGCGTCCGTGAACCTATCAAGCACCAAGAAGCGGGACCGGGAGAGACTGGCGCAGATTGCGCGCGGGAATGAGTCGTTGAAGAAAGAGGAGGTGTTTGTTAAGGCGACGGGGCGGGCGATTGAGAAGGCGCTGCGTGTGGGGAAATGGTTTGAGGAGAGGGAGAGCGAGTATGCGGTGCGTGTTGAGACGGGGAGTGTACTTGTTGTTGATGATGTTGTGGAGGATGAGGAGAGGAAGAGGAGGTTGGAGGAAAAGGTGAATGGTGATGCTTCGCAGGGTTCGGAGTCTGCGGCGAAGAAGCAGAGGCGGGCGGCTAATGCTTTGGCGGTTGCTGAGGAAGAGGAGTTGCCTGAGACGAGGACGCGGTGGGTGAATAAGGTGGAAGTTTCGATCGCCTTTAAATGAAGGGCGTGCGTGTGTTCTGGGAAGAAATTTTGGACTTGATGGTTGACCTAGTATGAGATAAGGGAGAGCAGCTGCTGGGGATAACGCGGGTCATTTACCCCCAAGTGCTCATGCGATGTTATGGTTCGGACTGTGCGTGGAGAACATGCCTCCTTTTTACGCCAAACGCGAGAGCCGGTTTAAGATATCTTCCGTCGTGGTGCAGCTATTTTGCTACTATCCCACTTGATTCTCGAGTTTTGTTAAGGTGACGACCGCAGGGTTGTATACACTGCCAGGCATCACAACAGGCAACAGTCTGCCTGAATCTTTTACGGAAGAAGTCTTCTTCAAGGGTCCCAAGGGAAAGTGAAGGTAGATCCACCAAGCGTGAAGACATTCGCGTCTACGTGCTTTTGTCCCCATTATTACGTTTGGGACATATTCCATGCACATGAACAGTTGCGTGTTGAGATGTGCCACTTGCCGACTGATCGGATTTAAAGAAACTAGGAAATCTAGCGATTCAAGAACAGAGAACGTGTCGCAGAACGTGGATGGTCTAGAGTAACTCCATATCAATCTCAAAACTAATATCATGACTTTTCGCATGCTCACGCTAAAACTGAAAGCTAGACGCAATACCCTGAGATAATTCATCTCAGAGTAGTTTAGTACACACAGCTACATCAAATATATACAACTTGGATGGAGATTCAAGGGGGGGGGGGGTGATATCTTGCATATCAACGCTTCTAGAGTTGCCTTCGCTCGATCTTATCAATTCAAAAGAAATCATTTTCCTGAACCACGCACTGTTCGAATGAAAATACGGCTGAACTCAGGTGAGCGAGAATAGGAAATTGATAGATGATACCTTGAAGGCTGGAGTGAGGGGAAGAGGGGGAAACATATCGATAATCATTCGTCGCTTTGCTTAACACTGGAACTGCCAAGGGAAGTGATGCTGCTATGATAGACTAATACACAAAGGCGGATGAGCCTTACATGAACTTGCTTCTGCCCATGAAGAAGGAAACATTAACGTAGAGTGAAAATCAAAAAAAAAAAAAAAAAAAAAAAAGAGGAACCTGCTGTTGCCAGAAGATCGTAACTGGAACAACAATGCAGTACAGGAAAGATATATGAGAATGAACAGCAGATGACAAGGGAGGGTCATGCAAGTTATGCAATCTGATAACTGCCGATGAAAACGAAAATGAGAAGAGAAAATATAAAGATTACACCAAGCTGAGCGAATACTCTTTTTGAGCATCTGCAGAATACATGAAAACACAATGATATCAAATGCAAAAATCGAGGTAAAGTGGGAATGAAAATGAAATCAAAAGAACGGTCCAAAGAGTGTGAGGGATCAAAGGGTCGAGCTCTGGAAGTTCTTTTGTAGAGCAACGTTTGGGCCTTTGCTTTATAACAAATACAAGGACAATCATTTGTCCATTTTCTGCCATCCATTCAGATAGGCCATTAGCCCTACACCTAGAAGAACGACCCCAAGCATCGACGCGTATGGGCTAGAGTGCTGCAAGACATCATGTTTGCGGGGCTGCGTTGCAAGCGTTGTATCGGGGCTTTCAGCCTCCTTAGATAGGGGCGATGTTCCTGTGCACTCTGGTCTCGTCTCGCTATCTGCGACAGTGTGATTCTTCGCCTCATCTGCGCTAGAAGGACTGGAGTGGTCGGCGGCATCCTGTGTCTGAGTCACTGACTCATTGTTTTTCTCAGAGCGCTCTTCACGCTCTCGTCTTAGAGTCTCTATCATCTCTGCTAGCGACTTTCTGGTCTCAACCGTCTCACTCTCTGCCTTCTCAGCGCGGTCCCTAAACACCGTGATTTGCTTCCTCATTTCTTCCATCTCTTCCATCATTGCCTCTAAGCGCTGCTGCAAATCATTACTGTTTGTGGTCGCCGGCTTCTCCTCTGGGGTGGAATGGCCCAAGCTAGGTTCAGGCGACACACCATTTACTAGCGTCTCTTTAGGGTTTAACTGCTCTGAAGAAGCCTCTTGGTTACCGACGGTATGAGAATCAGAGATAGTGTGGTTTGCGACAATTTCGTTATCCTTAGCCCTCATCTCGAGACTTCTGGCCTTTTCTTCTGCAGTTTGCCGCGCGGTCCGTTCTTCAAGTAAAAGGCTCTCTAGCTCTTTCACACGAGCACCCTGACTGTCAAGCTCTCTTTTAGCTGATGACAGAGCTTCAATCAGCGATAGTATTTGACTTGATTCACGAGAGACAGGTGAGCTTGTGGCTCCAATCTTCGGTTTCTCTGTATCTGATCGCTTAAGAGGAGAAGTAGCGTCAGCGCCATTACGTGGCAAGGCATCGGGCTTTTCAGGTAGAGGTTGCTGTGGAGGCGGGGCCGGAGGGTCAGAAAAGCGAGAAAAAGAATCAAGCCGGGGCATCTTTGGCCTGCCATTGACTTGACGGGACGAAGTGCTGTCCGCAGGCGAACTCTTAACTCGTTCTTTCTCAGGATGGCCTGACTTCGTAAGATTGGTCAAGAATTCGTCCGTTTGGCGTAGGTCTTGTGACTGCTGTTTGGCCTGTTTCATTTCGCTCTATAGGGGGGGTTAGAAGGCAATTGAAATGGAAACCGGACATCATAGCACGTACTGTAAGTCTTTTAACAACTTGTTCAATAGATATAGGGGAATTCCAGTAATTCATTTGCCGCTGTTGCTGGAGCGCATTGAACTGACTGCTGGCTGTGCTCTGTATACTCCGGTTGCTCAGCGAGCTCCCGGATCGCCCCCGCATATGTGATAGAGGCTGGCTAAGAGGGGAAGGTAGAAGACCTCCTCCAGATGCAGGGTCCAAATCTCCAAGTGTGAGATCGAGAATATTCGGCATGGTGCCATAAACCCCAGCATATTCCACTTTGCAACAGACCTTGTGGTGTACAACTGTCGTCTGATCTTCACTGATGATATCGATTCCCAGTTCCAGCTGGTCATTTTCACGGAGCTCATGCGGCTCTGACTCGCGGTTTTCCGGAGACAACCGTGTTCCGTTAACAAACGTGCCATTTGACGATTTCACATCACGAATGAAAATTCTCCCACCCTTTTCGGCCCAAACTTCGGCATGTTGTCGACTAAGCACCTTGGAATCAAAAAATCCATTCGCTGGTGTAGGCACCGTTTTTGCGTTCGTTTGCCGGCCAATTCGGACCACTTCCGGGAAGTAAGGCACGTTAATCTGTTTCTTTTCAAATGTACCGTTGAGCGGCACTAGCGTCAAAATCGCAGGCGGGTCTCCAGAAGGCGCGCTCCCTGCGCGGACGCCATTTTGTTGGGGTTGGAGCATATGTTGGGATGGAACAATGGAAGAAGGCTGGTGATGAATGGCGGACATTGCCGACGAGGCAGTGGGACCGGATGAAAATGCGGGCATTGCTTGAGAACGTGCGTTGCTCACGCCAGACACTGGTTCTGACTTAGAGCTAGGCCACAGACTGCGCGAAGGTTTCTTTTTAGACGACCAAGTGGCTGATTCAGGGTTGTGGCTTTGACCGGCATTAGTATTCTGCGGAGTGGATGTCACGGTTGACGTGGACGAAGTAGATCCCAGAGAAGAGGATGAATTCGATCGTTGAATGTTCTTCCGTGGCATAAACATGCGTGAAACTTCGTCCCCGTTCATTGAAGACAGAGCTCCTTGTCCTCCGTTACCAGATTCGTACCATCCCAAGCGAGGCCCCGATTGCACACTAGGTGGTGATGCCACAGCAGTCATGGAGAAGGATGCCGGCGATAGTCCGTAGGTGAGACTGTTGTTCCAGGGCTACCTTATCTCATAGGCGCTGGGTGAATAAAAGGAAAACAGCAAACAATCAACCGTCTAAATGTGCAACTCGAAAACCAATCGCCGGAAATTCACTGATAATTCTCTTTCGCGACAGTTTCTAAAGCCAGACCGCAGGTAAAGGATGTGTGGTGCGCCAAAAAAAACCGTATTCCGTATTCCAACCAACTGTTATCGAGGGTCACGTTAGTATTAAGCCGCAGTCGTCAAATTCATGGCAATCCGGTTCCTTGTGAGGGGGTTGAGAGCGACACAAAAAAAATAAAAAGGGTCCAGATCACAGGGGTACAGAAGACAGGAGAGGCTTACCTCCGTAGTACAAATGCTGACGATCAAAATAATGTGGAGTTCGGATGCAAAGCAATGGGTGCTTCAGACCAAGGAGGCGTGGAGTCTTGGCCTAGTCCGCACAGCGACCGGTAAGAACGCCGTCCAAAGGGGAAATAGAAAGCAGCACGAGACGGGAATACCGCCTTGCACAGGCTTGTAAGCCGCCAAAAGCGTGTTAACTCGATGCAAAGGATATTAACAGATCGAGGACCAAGTCGCATGGGCAACGGTTAAGAGGGTCAGCTCACGGATCCCTAACGCCTCAGGCTTCCTCACGTGAAAAGCCACACGTGCGGATTATCTAAGCGGGTCACTCGCCTCGACACGGTCAGGATTGCCCTAAGCGGAAGGCGGTGTCACGTGTCACTGGCGGAATAACCCCGGTTTTGGTGGTCCAACCGTCGGAGCTTTACCTCTCTATAAGCCTTTCTGAAAGAAGGAGAAAAGAACTGCAGTTTGCCTGCAAGTTCCTCGTCGATTCATCTTTATTTCCTTAGAATATCCCCGGCTCAGCTCCCCCCCCCCCCGCGTTTTCAATATGCCCGTCGTTGCAGGTCCTCCTCAGGCCCACGGCCCCTCTACTTTCGACAAGAGTAGGTTCTTCCTCCAAAGCAACAGAATAACTTGGTTTGACTGACTTTCTTTACAGTGAAGATGGGTGCTATGATGGGATCAAGTAAGCCATAATCTCTATAGTCTCATCATATTGGAAGAGTTGGTTAACGGTGTCTCTCCAGCTGTTGGCGGTATCATGGGTTTCATCATCGGTCAGTTGCTTTCTATACAATGAGCCCCAGCAGGCTTGCTAATGATTCATCAGGAACCGTCACCATCTTCCAATACGGTGCCGGACCCAACGGTGTTATGCGGACCTTGGGTAAATACATGCTTGGTTCTGGCGCGACTTTTGGGTACGTTTACACTTCCGAACAACTATGGTTGTGGTTCATTTATCAAACTCATGTTCATCTTTTCAAATATCATCCATACGGTGAAGGATACCTTGCTAACGAGTGTTTTTCGATACCGAGTAGTCTCTTTATGTCCATTGGCAGCGTCATCCGCACCGAGGGACCTCACAACGATGCCTGGCTCCGCGCTCGGGGACCACCGATGATGCTTCCTCGCCAAAGCCCTCTGCGGCCCATGCGCCAGTAGATGCGCAGTCAACGATTTGTGCGCAGTCGTCGAACGGTGGGAATGTGAAACCTCCCACGGTTTATCTGTACAATAGTATTTATCCTGATGAACAATCTGTATGGCCAACGAAACACAGGCGGTCGACAGTTAATGCAGGAAAGAGGATGGAGGGAGGCAGGGGTGATCTCTGCATAATGTACATACAGCCTGGGCATCGGGACGGACTGAAAACATTTTTGGCCCGGTGACAGGATGTCTCTTGGCGTTACAACAAAGCTAACCGGTTAATGAAGGATGGTCATGAGCTAACGACTTGAATAATGAGGTAGTCGATTGACTCAAATCTCACTATGAGAGCAGTAGAGTAGGTCCCTACAGGCCCAATCAACGGAGGGTAGGAATCGTAGATGGCGACCTTCAAGATGACCAAGCAGCTCGATATCACAGTTTCAGTTGCGTAGCATAATGGCAGTCTAACTTTTATGTTGGTAATACGGAACGAAACTTATGGGGATTGTTAAATATGGTGGTGGATGTGCTCAGTACTTCTACTTCTACTTCCACTTTCACACCCTGATGCCCCTGTCTCACCCAAAATGAAAGATATGACCATGGGTGAACTTTTCGAACCAATTTCAAGCTCCTCATTAAGCAGTAGGGTGAACGTCTTACAATCATAGCACGCCGTCTACGGCAGTTGGCTCTAGACCTGCGCTGTTTTAGATCTAAATCTACCGCGTCTCTACAAACGCAATACCTAACTCCATTCTCCCAAGATTCCAGTGGCTATCTAAATGGTCCTTATAAGCAGAGACGTCTATAGAGTAGACATTCTACTATTGGGATTTGTAATCAGATAGACTGTTTTGCTCGTTGCCGAAATGCACAAATGTATATTTCCTAGCCCTAGGAGTAATGCAATGCGAATCATTTTCAGTAGATAATACGGATTTTAAGATGCAATGCGAATCACTTAAGGTTTGAACTAGCTACAACAACAAGATAGAATATGAATGTATGTCATAGTTACATTAGGGATCGTTTACATGACATGTAACATCTCGCA